CCTATGAACATCGTGAATACAAATCAGATATAGAAAAGGAGGAGATATTTCAAGACCACGCATTAAGTCCTAAGAAGTGATGGAAACAGTAACGAATTGGATGGAAGTGGAATTAGAACTGGTGATTATTTTGAGTGGAAGACAAAAAAAAACTCACAACTCCAAAAGGTTTTTTTGTTGAGTTTACAAAATCATGCCTTCACGTCAAACGCTAACCTCAAAGGGTGTTAACCACCGATTTAATAATTAATCTAATTTGTTTTTACAATTGTTGTTCGTCATTAAAGAAACTCTCAAGAAATTGCAGAGTGTATCTGAATATGCCTAGATAATTCAAAATCAATGGAAGTACTAGATGGTTAACTGTATGGTGGGCTTTGAAAAAACAATATAAAAATATATAGATAAACAAGTGAACATAAAAAACAAAAAAATGTTTAATCCATATAGGGATGGTTTATGCTTAACTTTTTCAAGAATAAAAGTTTTATAAAGTTCCATATAGTAGTTTACATTACAATTTTCTTATCTATAATCAAACTTCAATAAACAATACATTCATATTTCATTAAAAATCGGCCTCATTTTCTGTTTCTTCTGACGTTATTCGCTCCACCACTAAACAACAAAGAGTATCGTGGAAATACCTCGTCGCCCGTCGAAATTATTAATTACCGTAAAACGATCCCTTCGCGAGACTGCAAACAGCGACACGACCGTCGATGTCTAACCCCTCCGAAAAGTGGTTCCAGACGGGAACCAACGAACCCCCGGGGCATAAAAAAAAAGTAAAAACGGGGCAGCACGCACACAAACGCAACACCACTACGTTGCACGCGGCGTAGTCTCCCTCCGAACCGTTGCCCTTCTTGTCTGGTCACCCATGCAATTGCTGGACTTCCCCCTCGATGGCGACACCACGGGGGATGTCCTCGAGTTCTTTGGCAGGATGTACTCGCCATGGTGCAACTGCAATCGAACTTACACCACCGGCGAAATCAGTATAAAACGTGAGTCATAAGCGCTAAGACACGATCAATCAGAAGATATACAGACGTGTGAGCGTCCAATTTTCAGTCTTCTTTTGGTGATTTCTTGTGATGTTTAGTCGGGGCAGTGTGGTTTATGAAAGAATGGTGAAATTGGTGATATTTGATGGTGATATTAACAAAAAAATAGATTTAGTAAGGGATCGAAAAGGGATAGGGGTAAAACATTTGTATGCAGAAATGAGTTTTGTCTCACAGAATACACATTATTTAATAGGTTTTTTTTTTAAATTTATTTAATTTTACATTATTTTATGAATTGTTGAAATTGCAAATAATTTTAGTTATGAGATGATAATTGCAAATTTCACATAGGAGTATTTTTATACCAGCTTTTTTAAATCTACATAATTCTAAAAAAAAAAAAAATAATAGAATCATCGTGCTGAAAAGAAAAGCAAAAGTTATAAAATAATTACTTACTTGATTTTACCTCAATGTGAGATTAATTTAAAATATCTTCAAATTTTATAAATTTTCGAAAGTTCTGCAACCTAAATTTTGTCTTTATATTGAAATCTATGAAGTGTTATGTGACTATTGTTGTACTTAAAGAATGGTCCCACATGACACTAACCCGTCGAATGATTAAAGGAAGTGCACGTTCCTCCACAATCCCTAATTAAAAAAAAACTTGATACCTTGGACTCCGGATCATATTGCCCGGTTGTGCCGGTGCTCTGGCCAAATAGGTCGAAAAATCGCTCATAGAACACAGGACTGTCCAGCAGTAACGGCCCTCCGCAACGTGTGTGCTTCGCGTCCAACGAGCGGGCAGATTTTTGCGCGCGGGGAACGTTTCGTTGCGATGATATATCTCACACGACGACCGCAAATTCGATACCGACAGAAACACGATACACAATGAAACGAAAGACTTGGGCCGCCGTGGCCTGAACAGAAAAAAAATACACGTCGGAAATTAGTTTAGAGCTCGGGGATAAGGTGAACGTGGAGGTAACACGACACGCGACCACCGTCAACACGTTATCAAAACTGGAGCGGTTTTAAATGTTTGCAGTTACTTGTTGTAAGTGAATATATCTATTTTGTATTTGGGAACGAACTGTGACAGGTAAACTATACTTAAGTGACATGGTGCTACTGGTTTGTCAGTGTTAGCTGCTTTGCCTCAGCTTGTAGTGATGTTCGACAATGTGTTCAAAAAGGTTTCCTTTTAAGTTTTTAAATGGTTTTTGTGAAGAAAATGAATTTTCTTTAATATTCCGAAAGAAATTTGGGGGTGGAGTACTGTTTTCTTATGGTGTCGAGATTGTTTTGAAAGTCTAGCACCATACGAAATCAGTTCTTAGCACCAAAATACTGCAAGAAATTATTTTTATTTTTTATTCAATCAAATACGTGTTCTCTTTATATGTGGAGTGTTGTGTTTTTTGGTAAGTAGTTTTCAAATAACTAGTAGATGTTATATATACTGGGTTCTTTTAATACTGAAAAGAAATTTTTTTTAACTATTTGAGAGACTTTAGATACCCAAAGCAAATAAAAAATAAAGTAAAAAACACATATGCATTATGCAAATTAAGAAGCCTACACACTTCAATTATCTTGCACATTTTTAAAAGTATACTTCAGGTTTTTCAAGCACATTATTTCATTCAGAAATGAACTTCAAAAAAAATCGATTTCATCTCCTTAGTTGTTTTTGGGATCTTTGAAGTATCTTTTGTACTTTGGAGAAATGAAAGTAGACTAAATTGGTGGGTACAAATTAAGGTTAGATAGATCTTGTTTTGTATCAAAAATAAATTATTCTCCATGCGAAAATCTTATGTTTGTTTTAGAAATTCCCAGAAGGAGATATTATTTTCAATTACGTGATCAGTTGCTGTAACTTCCGCGACAAAAGAAACCTCAACTGCAATAAATCTCTTATACAATTCCCGAGGGAGATATACAAATCATCAATTGGCCCATTGATTATATTATCAATGAGAAAGAGAAACAAGAAAAAAAAAGAACTCTACAAAATTCAAAAGTATGAAGAAATAGTTGTTCACCGTTTATGATTTCGACATCGCAGCACGTCAAAAAATCTAAAAAACAACATTTATAATTATTGAAAACTTTTACGTTATTGTCCATAAAAATACTAAGTGTGCAGAATGAAAGGGTGTTTTTGAAACAGCTAGTATACAAAAACTGATGAAATTTAATTATGCCTTCATAGGCCCACTAGTCATTTATTAACAGCTGAAAAATGATAAGTATATAATCCAACCCATCCTAACTTCAAAGCAAACAAATCCAACATCACAGTAAGCGATCTTAAACCATCCAAACAAAATTCTAAATAAACCAAACCCAATTCGACACGAGATTGGGTTAGTTTGCTTTTGGTTTCAACCCAACCACAAACCAATCAATGCAACCAAAACCTTAACTTAACCACAAAGCAAACGAATCCAATACCAATGCAAGCTAATGTAATGGATCCCAACCCAATCCCAAAGCAACCCAGACCAACTCCAAGGTAAAGTAACCCAACCTCATAGTGGGGTAACTATAAAGCGATCCAACTCAAAATCAAACTAACCCAGCTCCCAAGAATTAAACCCAAAACAAACTCAATTAAATTTAAAAGAAACTCAACTATAAAGTATCCCACCCCACAGCAAGGTAACTATAAAACAATCTTAACTAAACTAAAGCATATCAGAAATGTGAATTCTCTTGTTTAGTTTTCAATATAATATGTTTGTTACTCACCCTAGGATCTAAGGCTTCATTTTGAAGTATATTAAGGACCACAATATGATTTATTTCTACATATCTACTATGACTTTAATGATGTTTTTCTGGTGTGCAATATGTATCAGGTATGCCGTTTAACATTGTTGTTGCTTTCCCTATTCTTCTTTATTGTCATTATATTATTTATCATATTTTGCTGCTACGTTTTTTTTTTATCACAGCTCTAACATGGAGGCTCTTCATGCAAATTACTCCACAAGCGTCCATTGGTAAGTATAGTTTTGAATTTTAAGTATCTCGAATATGAGTGGCTTTTTGGGAAAGACTTGGAACTCGGAATGAGGGCAAACAAAATGGGGTGATGTACAAGGGAACCAAATAGTTGACTCCAAAACAGGATTTGGTTATGATATAAAATAATTCAGGTGTTATAGTCAAGAATTACAAAATGACATTAGTTATCTTTTCAGATTTGAAATTACTTAATTTGCTAGTTTTACATTTATCATTATTAGATTTGATAAAATATGGTATCAAATACGCTCAAAAGTAATTTACATGTCATTTATAGATGTAGATATAGTGTACATACAGTTGTAATGTAAATTTAATACATTTGCGGGATTTCGAATAATCCTGTAGGAAATAACGTGTAGTATTCTCCCTTCAAAATAACCATTTTGCTACTCTACTTAAAATCAAAAAGGTAAATTAAAAGGAAATTGAGTCATGCTTTAATAGAATTTCTGCAATAAAAGAGCAACTCCAGAGTATCTCTTAAAACTCCAGGAAACCGTGTTACGTCTATTTTTTTAATATAATTTTGAGGTTGCTTTACTTGGATCATTCATTCAGTTTTTTATAAAAATTGAGGTGTACTTTAAATGTAACGACACCATTTGGTTTTAATTGCGAGAGAAGTTCTAGATACATTTCTGGAGAACTACTTTTAACAATGTTTAAATGAACTTATTGAATTACTATTTATATTTGAATTAGACAGTAAAACTCAGTCGTTTGGAGAGATATATATCATTCTAACCAGAACAACTTCATTTTAATCATTAAATATAAAAGAAAATAACAATTAATGTAATTAAAAAAATAAAATACTTCTTTGACTTTATGCAACACCAAAAAGCTGTTAATTGTTTGATCCTAAGTTAATTAAAGCTAATTAAATTTGGAAAAATTAATTTAAAAAATAAAGGATAAGATGAAATAAAACAACACAAATAAGTGTTGACCACATTTATTATTTAGTATATAATCTGGATAAACTTGTGTCGTGAATTATTGTGTAGAAAAAAAAAATCTCCAAAAAATACAATCCCCCAAAAAAAATTAATGTTATACATCATCTCTAATGTACTCTAATGAATTTGGATACTTCTTTTGGTGTATATATAAATACAATTTGTGGAACTTAACGATAATATGTACAGGGGTACAACTAATATTTACAAACTTAGAACCTAAAATCGCTGAGACATTGTTAAATTAAATTAAGGTGTTAACTTAATGATGAAACTATACGGATTATATGTACAGGTCTAAACGATTGCGTACGTTTTCTCCAAAAAAATAAAATTAATGAGCGTATCAATGGTTTTTTTATAATGGCATAAGCTTATTATTATTATAAAAACGAGACGGGAGAAATACAGTCAATAGTTTTTCTTAAATTTTCGCTTACACCATGTCCAATACAATATAATGCAAGGTAAATGTTCCATGTATGAAACGATTTATTTAAGAATAGGATACAGTGACGACACCCGAATTTTCAGAATTATTACTCTTGATTTCGGATTCCTTTTTGTTTAGTTTCAACCATGTATCCCCTAGGGCTTTAGCAAAATGGTCGTCAACTGATAATCCCGCTGTATCCATTAATTCGATGACGCTGGTGGTAGTTTTTGCTGGAGGAGGTCTTACTGTCGCTATTTCCTTCGAAACGTTGTTATTCGAAAATATAGCAATGTAATCTTTGCCTAGAGATCTCCTGAAATGCTCGTCAATTATGGGATCACACATAGATATACCTAAAACAAACAGAATATATTTATTATTAAAGCTGCTAAATACGTTCAAACATAACAACAATTAAAAACGTGCGTCAATTCAACCATTAAATAACCGTATAGCTATCTCAATTAAGCGGTCATATAAAAGCTATTATTTTTTGTATGGTACTTCTGCGAACGTAGTTTTATTATCAAGAATAAACCGCTGGTTCCCGTTATTTTTCCTTCTGTATGGTAGCGGGAAATCATCGATTCTAGTAATTAAGTCGCGTTCGGCAATCACGTAGACACACATAATATAATTATTCAAGGAAGTTCGGGCACAACTATTATGCCATTTCCTTAACACGTTCCGACGTCGTTCGTTCCCATACTCGTGACAAATATACTTGTCGACACAGCTACACACGTATGAAGGAAATGACAAGGACGTGTAACTTTAGCCCGGAAATTAAATTGTTTTCGAGATAGTGTAAGAAATAATTTACCACTTGGAAGATCATCTCTGTGTCCATTATTTTGGTTCGTTACAACAGATGGTCTATAGCTTGATCTGTAGCCGGGATTGTTGATCGTTTGGCTGTAGGAAGGCGGTTGACCTCTTTGCCTTACGGTCATATCTAGGGGTGTGTCCGCAGATGGTTTAATTGGTTGCCCATTTTGCTGTGGATTAATTGGCGAGTTGGAGGTAACCTCGGGTTCTTGTCCGAAATTTTCCGGAAGTTTTGGATCAGATTTTCTTGAGTATTCGTTTCTACTTCGTCGATCTCTTTTCCATTTTGTGGTGGGTAATTGCTTATTGCCATTTTGTTTTGAAGAGTCATCTGGAAGAAGAATATTTAATTGTAATAAATTAATTAACAAAAATAACCTTTTAAACATTGAAGGTTATTATTAAATGATTGAGTTTCTAGTTGTAAAGCATTTAACAGATGCTTCTTCAATTACAGTCCCAAGGCAACCAACACATACCATAATACTAATAGCATTTAATAAATAGGAATTGGAACAATATCCACAATCGCATAGTCCATTGGGCATCTGTTACTTATTGAAAGAAACGCGATTTTTAGGCCCAATTTATCCTCGGGGCAATTAATTCCGTAATAACAATAGGTTATTTTAACGGTAAACAAGCTAGATGAAAAGCATGTAATTCCATAAATAATCACAAATTGATCAATACGAAAAAAAAAGTAATAATGGAGATGATATGACGTGACAATATGCGTATATAATGTATTCATGGTTTGCCATTAAAGGTAAGTGGATGTAGCGGAAAGGTGCTTATATTCAATCCGTTGGCAATTACGACCAAAACGAGAGGAGCTGCCCTCTCAAGGTCAGGGCGGGCTTCAAATTAACTGGAAGATTGAGAACATCCGGTGGGACCAGGTCTCAATTAACATAAATGGAAGACCAGGGGTCTACAGTCCTCACAAAACGATACGTCGGCTATTTAAAACTTACAAAAACACAAGAAAAAAAACACATTCTTTCTTAAAACATCAAAGATTTATCTTACCTTTATCTAGCCACGGTTGCCAAAGTTCATATTTTTTTGGTTGTAACTCGGCGGTAAAAAGAGAGTACTCTGAATACAAACGTTTATTTAATAGTAACTCTTGGACGTAGGTTAAAAGCTCCATTCCTTTCAATTATCACGGACGCTTTTTTAGGTTCAAGAGCAAACAAAGCACAACTTGTATTAACTTTGAATTGAACGTAAATAGAGAGCCACAACGGGCGTCGGCGAGTTTTGAGGGTCCCGAGAAGCAGTTCTTCCTCTACTTACAGAACGTGTACCACGCGACCGCGACCGACGCAATAGTAACGCGGGATTCATTCATAAGATCCTCAGGTAGGAACCAAGAGCTGGACGGTCAGGTATTCGTAATTAAGTTTTTTTCTTCTTCGCCGCAGCGACTACGAATGGTAGGGGTACTTTGAGGCGAGATTCGCTTGCAACGCCAACATTTTACGGACCGCCCGGTTTTTTTTTAACTTTTTTTTGTTTTTTAAGGATCCACCGCAGCACGCAGGATGGCCGCCACGTAAGGCTGGATACCGGATGAAGAATTGACGTGAAGAAACTCTTCGGGGGCTGCTTCACATTTTTCAATGGATAGATTCCGGGGGCGACCTCGCATCATGGCAAGGTCGTTCAACGTATAGACGAAAATTATTTGGAGATTGTAGTGACAGGCACAGGATGTTTAGCTTTGGAAGGTGCTAATTTTGTGGTATTTTGGTTCGCAAACTAGTACGATGTAATTTTTTGTTTTATTGCGACGTTAATTTTCTACGTAGTATGATGACTAAGAAATTACGAGAGCAGTTAAGAAAAGTTCTCGAATTTCACAACAAATGTGTTTTAAATATAAACAATTAGTTCTTCTTATTGTTGGATGAGGAAATCTTAATATTGCAACAGATTAGTACGTTTTCTGAAAATGATTTGTTTTCTGGTTTTTATCGCTCTACAACTTTACGGACATTACCGTTATCTTTATAACGTAATAACTACCTATCTTCTTTCTAGCTAAACGAATATGAACTTAATAGAGTTTTAATGTTAGCAAACTTTAAGTATCAAGTGAGGTAATGCTAAATAGAGTTATAAACCATAAAAAGTAATAGATTTGATCTTTAACCCGACCAATTAAATTCTAATACTTAAATTGCTTATTTTTTCATATAATTTTCTCGAAACAACTTCTGTATAAACTATTAATCTTTAAAATTACGACAATGACGACCAATTTTCTATACAAAACGGCACTTGTAGTGTGTAAATTGGAGTTGAACGTCGTCGATACGTCTCTCGGTAGCAATCAGCTAACGACCGCATCTCGTCTCGAATTCCAGGGAACTTTCTTTCGGTCCGTAGCACGAAAGCAAATAGTTCCACGTCTCAATTATAGCCCATCACGCGCGTTCCTTAAAGCGAACCGATCGACAATGAACGTTTTTCTTCTTCCAGAGTCCAGCGGCGGCACCGGCACGAACGAATACATCTTCTCTCTCCGCTTTTCATTCTGCGGCCGCCAACGTCGTGACGTCCGTAATGGATCGCCCCGTGTGCACCGGGAAACATTCCGGGGATTCTTCAGCCCGCGGGTCGTGTGCCCGATTGTGACCTCTCCGAAATCCGACCGGACTCGAGATGCTGTGGAAACGAGCGGACTCGATTGACGTCTTTCTCTTCATCTCTCGCCGGTTGAGATGAGTTCGCTTTATATCCTTTTCTTCATTCTTCACTTTTCTCAGAATACGTAAAACGTCCGAGAATTTTTGATTTACATTTATTTGACGTTTTCTCTTGTTTTGTTATGGTTGGCTGACTTTACGACTTACTGGTTTCATGTCAGCCTATACTTTAACTTAAGATTACATTTATTTTCTTTTAGAAAAAGTTTTTATGGATGGTTTAGAATGTCAAATTAGATTAGAATCCAACTAATTAACAATAACTCATTTATGACTCTTTATTATTTTTATCTTCAACGACATTTCCTTTTTGCTGTTTGGATTTTTAGATCTAATAACACTATAATAAGATAGCACATTGTGATTCTCAACTAGTCTCATTGTCAAAGATGTTGTTTTAGGACCAACAACGTGATCTAATCTTTGTTTTCTATGTAAGTCAATAACTGTTCAGAATCTCTTAGACACAATTGTTGCTTTGGAAGGTGCTTTCAGTTGGATTTTGACAACTTATTTAGTACGGGTGGCGGAACTGGTTTTGTAACTTTAAAGAAAGGAAAGAATAGATAAGAATAGCAAAAAACTGGAAACATTTGGAAATTTCTATGTTCAGCAGTGGATACAACTGGAACAAAAAAAGGATAAGATTAAGGCGATAGAAAAGAATTTTTTGACAAATTGATTGCCAAAAATCAACTCGCTCATAATTTTTTAGGAAAATAAAAATATTTTAAAACGAGACCACCTTTTAACATCGGCCAGAAAGGATTGGGGTTTACGACTTAATAAAAAATGTTCTGAGGAAATAACTGTTGTGCATTCTTGTAACGTTGATCGTGTAGCTTGATTTACCAGAAACGATTTAAAAAAATTTTTAATAATAAACAACCATACTGAATAAACTTACATTTACAATTCTTACATATTAGGTAACAAGCTTTTGAGAGATTTTTGAGACTTGACAGAATGCGCTTAAAGGATGTCTTAGAAATAATGAAAATAAAAGGACTAAACCATAAGCTAATTAATCTAAAATACAACATTAATACTCAAACAAAAAAAAATCAGAGTAGGACATATGACAACAAAAAATATATATGTAAACACAGGGATTAGACACGGCGACTCATGCAGCCCCATCATAGTATTTAATCTGATAATGGATAAAATAAAAGAAAACCTTCCCAGAACAGCTGGATTCTAGAAACACATTCTTCCATGCCGTCTGCTACGCTGATGATGCTGCCCTTGTTGTAGATTCTGAGAACAACCTCCAAAGGTTAATACATTCTTTTAACACTAAAGCAAAAAAATGATATATGCTCATCAACACCGAGAAGACCAAATACTTATAAGATGTAAGCTGGATATCGACTCCAAGGCTGTCAATTCGGTAAATCGCTTCAAATATTTGAAGGCAGAAATAACGAGGCACGAAAATCTTTCTAACGAATTGAAAGAGTAAACAATGAAAGCGGCTCGAATTTCGGGATGCTTGCGAAAGATTGTTTTTAAGATCACATACAAAAAGGTAAATTAAGATATATAAAACAGCTGTAAGACATATCATAGCATACATGGCAAAGACAAGACCAGATACAAGCAAGACTCTACAAATGATGATAATACTCAAAAGATCACAGAGAAGATGACCAAAACGATGACAAGAATGTTGAACCTCATTTTTTGGAGACGACGTGTTGGCAACGAACAGGCCGAAGCAATATGGATATCCATATTAGAAAGAAGAAGTATGTGACACGACGACCGAAGAATATCTTAAGAGACTAAAGAACAATAATCTTTTTTGCAAACTTTTCCATTGGGCAGGTACGCTAGTAATGATTTAAAGGACCAGATACAATGAAGATGGGTCTTCAGAAAAATCAATGTTGGACTGGCGAGTTGATCATTAAAAGAAATGATATATAGTTAAAATTAGAAACAATTAAATTTATCCTATCCATTGGTATTTAAATTTCACATATAAATTGAGAAATAAATCTTAATGTAAATCTTTTGATTAGGAGTTGATTGGTTTACATAAATAAGTTTCTCACGGTGAATAGTTAAAGATATCTTTGAAATGGGTTTCTTAAAACTAGATTGTCAAAGTAATGCAATTAATATAAGTGACAGTGGAATGTCGATTTGACAGCTGCAAGCGGTGCGGCGCCCCTAACATAGGCGGAAACGTAGATTTCAATTTTATGCTAATTACGTTGCTAACGTGTATACGTTAGCGGAGTGCGGATGCCATTCCGAAGTGGACGGATATTAATTGCCGTACTTAATCAGCGTCCATTGTGCGTGCTCTCGTACAAGTCGTTGCTTAAGTGGTCGACGTACTAAACGGATTTAATGCCGCGGTACTGTGCGATGATGTGTCCTGCTTAATTTAGGTGATCTGAATAGCTCCTCGATATTTCATAACAACCCAAACGGCGCGGTGCCGAAAAGGATCGCGACCGTAACATTTCCGGTATTTTTAACCGAGTTCATCTTGAATCATTGCGGCGGTAAAATTCTTTATTGTTTGCAATTAGCACTGAAAACTGCGACGACACACTTTGATGGCAGTAGACATCGTCAATAAAAACAATAAAAATCAACTTGCGTTATTTTTAGCAAAAATATCATTGTTATTGAATTGATGGTCGCTGATGAAAAATGTTCTACTTCTAACAATATACAGTTAGCTATTTATACAATCCCATGTTTAGAATGTCCGGGGCAAAGTGGCTGTGCTCACCGGTTAATTACCAATTAAAGCGTCGGAAAACTGCATCTCGTGCAGTAATGCACGGAAATATTGCTTGCGCTTCCTTGCTGCGATTAAAAGGTTGTTATTTCTAATTACTCAGGCTTATACAGGAGCCGACTGTAATCGTTAAGAGGATGTTTATGGCAGCCGATCCCCAAACCATTCCCGACTCCAATAATCCTCTAAAATATGCAATGCTACGAAACAACGTTCGGATTTAGCGAGAACAAATCGCAGAAAACATGGAGCTAAACGTTCATTATTAATTATAAAAGGGTCAAGATCGTAATGTACCGATTATAGCTCATAAATTGTGGTCAAGAAATTAAATTTTTGTTTTTCGTTTTCTGAACAACAATAATACTATGAAATAATACTCTTTGTAAGATAAATAATAGGAGATAATGAATTGTTATGGTTCGTAATTGCTGTGTTAGCAATTTCTAGAACTTCTCTGTAAAATATTGGAAATAATAAAGTGACAAAAATACCAGGAAATTATTTCTTAATCGAAATTGTATTTATTTTATACATCATACAATACTAAACATTTCAAATTGAACTCCTAATTAAACTGTCTTTCAAACGGTTCGAAATTGCTTTTCAAAATTAAGGCTTTACATTCCAACAGTGTTTGTTTATCAACATTAATTAATGAGCCGTCGAAAAGCCAATAAATGTCGAAATAACGACGCGGTCCTACGATGTGTTTAGTCGCTATTATTACCAACGGTCGCTAAACACTATTACGCTTATTTGCAAATATCCGAATCGTTTTCGAAGCCAAATATCACAATGGAATGCGTCTCTGTCCGCTCATATCTGCTTTACTGACGCAATAAAACTGTAGAATGTCAAAACGTTGGCTCAGGAATGCAATGCTTGCGATAATGTGGATTGATAAAAGTCGAGATATTTTAATGTCTCTTTTCAAAACTTAAGATTATCAAGATTATTTTGAAAATTTATGTTATGACATTAAGCGTTTTATATATCTATAATTTAAGTTGTTATAAAAAGCTTTATAGGACATTTATTTCATTTTTATTTTATTTTATTAATTAATTTTTAAATATATCAAATCTTCAGGTAGATTAAATCCTTTCATATAGGCAACTTAATAATCAGATATTATTGAAGGTCGCATTGTGAGAACCCAATCGAGATACAACGATCAAAAAATTGTCTTAACGACCACTTCAAGGAATTCTTTGGGAAAAATTCCAACGTTTAATACTCGTATCATTTCTTTTACACCATGCCTATTATCCAATAAACTGATGATGCATTTTACATTCCAGTTCTTTAAAATAAATTTAAAAAAAGTGCCAGCATTCCGTAACGCCTTCGGAAATTTTAACCATCAGTTTTAATATGATTAAAATGGTCGTTAAATGATGCCGCCCTACCGCGAGTAAACAATCATTATGTCTATACATGGCAACATTACTAAATTGATTGTAATTATCGATTGTTTTGGGTACCGTAAACGTAAAAGCGATGAAAAACAGAATTGTCGGAAATGAATCAAAGAACGGAACAAAGTGAAATTATTGGACCACACATTCGATTCAATAGAAATCGCTTTTTACGGGTCAGGGGTACAGAAGAGAGTTTATAAATTGTCGGAAGAATCGTCTGCATTGTTCGAACGGTTTTACTTTGTCGTCTTCTGATCAGGAATGTAACATACATTCTTGTGTGTGGTTTCTTACACCAGCTGCATTCAATCCCGATATTTTCTGTTATACCATAACACAATTAAATTCACGTGGTTATTGACATTTTAAAATCGTTTAAATCGTTATAACAGTTCATTTTGTTTATTTTTTTTAATTAATACTAATTTTAAACATGTTTTAGATTCCTTAAAAATAGAAATTGTCAATCATCTACCGTTTTTTTTTTTTTGATTCAACAGTTTGTCGGAAGTAAAATTGAATAGATATTGTCGGTATTTTAAACGCTGCAAAAGAGAGACATTCGCCACGGTACAGAAGATCTGATGGAATTCCGACTTCACACCTAAACACATCTGGTTGCGGCATGGGAATCCTTTGAACGATACGCTCCCCAACAGGGCTCAACAGCGGCCCCATAATGTGCTATAGGATTTTTAGAATGTTTTCGTCTGCCCCCACTTCCTCCACTATTTGTAAACCACAAAAAAGTGGACTCAATGGATATCCGGATTTGTTTTTGTTTGAAAATGTGTAGATGAAAAGATATGAAATTTAACAATAAATAAATTGAAGTCTATACTCAATTTTATATATAGTAAAACTTCGATTTAATGGATTTTTTCTAGATTAGCACTAGAAACATCGGCTTTAGCCATCTTAAGAGATGTAATCCGAATGTTTCTAGTTCTAGGTCTTATGATAGTTTTAGTGATAGTGCTAGTGTTAGTTTCACATTGAGTTCAATAAATATATACAACAATTTAGCACTGAATAACAATTATTAAAACTAGAACTAACACTAGACCTCGAATTAGGAACATTTGGGTTCACCCGAAACTTTCTAGTTCTAGGTCTAGTGTTAGTTCTAGTTTTAGTTCAATGACAATATATAACAGCGATATCTAGTGCTAACTAGCGCCACCTCGCACTGTCGCTACAATTAACATTAGACCTACAACTAGAAAGTTTCGGGTTTAGCCGTGCGTCTTCAGACGTTATATTTACATTAAATAGATAATAGTAATAGTATGACTTAAAAATATTTTGTCCGTTATATACGAATTCCGATCTATCAAGGTTGTACTGTACTGCATATAAACGAAAAACCACATATCGGAGTTATAATTAATTACGACTTGTTTTTTATATGGAAGATTGAACGTTTTGAAATTTGACCTCTCATATACAAGTAAATAAAAAGTGAACTCACACTGATTATCTAAATCCGTTTCTTTCAAAATATGTAAAGGAAATAACATGAATTCCAACAATAAGAGAAATGAGTTAATATTTTTATCCAAAAATATATAATCTTTGAAAATGTGGTTAAGAATTCTTTAGATTCTTTTTAACTGTTCATTGTCGCTAGACGGAAGATAGAAGACCATAAAATTGCATGGCCCGTTGCTCCTCCGTTGGTTGATTGTTATTCCAACGTGATACATGGTATTATGATGGCAGGATTCCTACTTCCTAAACGAGTGTCACCGCGGAAAGAGGAAAGAGACGAAGCGCCGCGGAAATGTCCCAAAAGGAAAAGAACTTGGACGATTGAGTACGTCCAGTTTTTCAAACGAATTTGTGAAATGATTGCTGGACTGTGATTTATTTAAGATTCTTTCAACTTAAATGTAATTTAACAGTTAATCGCCAGAGAAAATAATTAACCACACACATGCGTCAATGTTAAGAATAAGCTAAATGTCCTAACGCCAACGCTTCGTCCTTTTTTTTATTTTTTGCAGGATAATGAATCGACCCGTCAACACGGAGCCTAAAGTAAACACTCCACTTTTGCATCTCGTTAACTTTGGCGTGATTTAATGGACTCAGTGGCCGTGAGGCGCAAATGAGCGCGTTGTACCTGCGATTTGCTCCAAATTCCCTCCTTTCGACTTGGCCTGCACAAGCCCCGGCCTTCACCTTGCCACGAATATGATTGGCGTAGTCATTTTACGTTTATAATAGAAAGGCGAATTCTTTGCATGAAGGTATTACAAAAAAATCTGAAGGAATGCGTGCAAAAACATCACAAATTACTTATCCAATCAATTTTACCATTACAAAACTTAATATTGAATCTTTAAACCCTTTGAAATGATTTTGTATCATCATTTCAAATATTTTTTGTGAGATTTAGTTTGAAAGCACATTCGACGTCACCACAGACATAGCTGACGAGAAAGTTTGGAATGTCGCGGTTTCTACACAATGTTCCCCAAAAAAATACCACGCAAGCTTTCTCGTTTATCTTATTGGATTTAACTAGATGATTCCTTTAACTGCCTTAAATTTATTTAATTATCAATTTTTTATTGTTTCATAATAAATAAAGTAAAACTTTTCATTTAGACAAACATTATAATGTGAAAATTGTTAGCCCAATTATGGAGGTACAACTACCTATAAATGTCCGGGACGATAAACGACTACAGTGGGCGATTGGGAATGTTGATGACCAGGAATGTAAGCTCTCTCAGATTTTATATGGCAATCAAATATATCCGTCACACAATAGGTGTGATTACATTGAAATTTTCACCGCGTTTGAGGCCACATACTTTTACGAGTTCAATTATACAATAAGTGCTTAACGAAACTAAAAAAGAGACATGAAACAAATTGAAAAAGCTCTTTAAAGAAATTGCGCAATTGACGTACCGTTAAACTATAATTGTCTTCTAATCAATCTGCAATCGACTTTTAATTCACCTTCTTTACTCGCTCTATTTTCAGACAGCTATGTAGTGCATTGCAGATTGCTTCGTTAGATTCATCCGTAATTCAATTATACCACGAATTAATTCGGACCCAATTTAACCTGATTTGTTTGACAAACTATCAGTTAATTGTAACCTATATATGTACCGGATACCTACACAATAATATTTCCTTTAAGCGTTATTAGGATTTGTATCTTGTTCGGTTAATCAGTTGTAATTTATTTTTAATATTATAACGCAGATGTTTTTGTTATATAAAAAAAAATCACTTCCGGTAGAAAGTAGAACACAGTTTCAAGCAAATTTTTTTGTTATTTTAACAAAAACCGCGATTAAGTATCAAACAATGTCCTTTCCGTTTATCAGAAACAAGAGGATGTGTTCGATAACAGCGAGCAAAAAGGAAACCATAAGCCACAAACTGTTGTTGCCAGTCTATTATTAGTGCTCTGGCGGTTAATTAAACGATACGCTAGAAGAAAACAGGTGGAGTGTGTCGAGACATCATGCGTACCAACGTAGCTAGTTGAACTAGAAAATTATTCGCATTAGTTAGGAGGTAGTTATGAGCTTATTTTGTACATTTTCAAACTTCTTTTAACATAAAATTCAGATAATCTTACCCATCAAATCGATCTATTTGTATATCTGTCCGGCGACAGAATACGATTTAAATAGCACTAGAGTTGAGCTATTTAGCAATTTAAAAGGGACAGTTAATTTGAATGAAGAATGCATTTAAAGATATTTACATAGGGGAGGTACGAAATAGTGTACGTTAGAATGACAACGAAAATGACAACGTTATCAATACAATTTATCTGCTATGTACTTTAGTTACGAGACAAAATTGAAAACGATCTAATAAAAAGAGATGTCGACCTAAGGCTATAGTGACCGTCTTTGAAATAAATTAACCCGAGTCGTAAAACACGTTATGAAAGTCGTTTAATTAGACAGTAGATTGCTCAACCCCGGCTATTTTACTAAATTGGGCGTGTAATTGGGATGTTTGTTAGTAATTGCTCAGCTCAAATAGGATATCACGTCGATATGAGTAACTATGAATATCTAATTTTCCACTGGATATATTTATGATGGAGATGTTAATATAAAAGTGAAAAAAATAAAAATTACTTGCATAAGATGGATGTTATGTTTTTAAACGTTGATTTATGGAACCTTTTAGCAGCAATTATAAGATCCTTAATCTAGTTTTATTTTAAAGTAGAATCAAATTCCAAAGGATTCCATTCGTTTCGTTTATTTCATCCAAAATTAGATTGACACAAAGAGGACATTAACTTTTCCGTACAGTATATACTCACTATCAAAAGAGCAAAAGTTATCGTTATTTTAAGATTAAACCTGAAATCCGGTGAAATTCGAACCAATAAATTAAAATGAATGCTGTCAGTAAAATGACCGAAACTAATGAATCAAATTGTTGAATAAACCCATCTTTATTGAATTAAATGCGGGGTGAAAATAGTTTAAATAAAAAGTGGATGTAAATTGAAATTTAATAAATGCTTACCAGAAATAATGGATTGTTGTTGATTCTCCTGGACCATAGTGGCAGCTCTGGAGAGGACTTCAAGCGGGGATTCGCAGTCATCCATGGCAGCGATCTGCACAAGAGGAATGTCAGGTTATCACTCTGAGGCCTGATAACAATGAAGTCATGTGGGCATCGCGGTATTCACGTGCACGATTCCATTCGGCCTCGACGAAATTCTCGTAAAACTACCACCGCGGCCAAGAATGCCCGCGACGACGGCACGCGGTGGGGGCAATTTAGTAGTGTTGGATGACTTAAGTCGCTCGATATTTGCTTCGTTTCGGTATTGTACGGGTGCCTGAGCGCCGAAGAGGAGGAGCAAAAGAGCGGCGCGCAGCGCTTCGACGACGGACCGTGATGAAGTCGGCGGGTAGGTGAAGAAGTCGAGGGCCGAACCGAACGAGGTGGTTAAGGCGGTTGCTACAGCGCGGTAGTATGCCAAAAGAATTCGAGCTATTCACAAAGTATCTGGTAATAAACGGCCCGAGGTGGTACGAAGCCGGCGCGCTTCGGGGCCGTGACCAGCACCGTCGACAATTGTAGGAATTTTAGTTGAGGTCAGATGGACTACTTGCTGCTGCCTCCGACACTGGAAAGGCCCCTAGACGAGCTAAATCAATGCGCGGTACACGAGAGTGGACGATCGATACAGACGACTTCAACAACACAATTCAAAAAAGAATTTCAGAAATCAAAGACTTCTTTACTAAACTTTTAAATTACTACGCAAGATTAATACAAGAATGCCATTTCAAGATTGCGCATTTTTATTACATCTTCATTTCACCATTTTTACATTCCTTATACAACATCAAATTGTTGTAGCATTCCAATCAATTGTAGTCATCATATTGTTTTAAAAGAAATTATGTTCGTTCATTTATCTTTGTATTTAGTCATTGGTTCTGAATTCTTTCAACATTATGTATAATTTTAAAACATAGAAATACATATCAAATAGATATTTAATTTGTTCCAAAAAAAATTAAATAACTACATTTTCTTCAACCGGAAACGGTGTTTATCATGTTTATGTCGGGCGCCGACATATTCGTTTTTAAGCTCATGATGCCAAAGACACTACATATGCATAAAGAAGCATTGCCCGGATAGCAACCCATATCGCATCGATTTTCGTAGGCCATGTGCTCGTTGTCGTGTAATCTGAAACCCAGCGTCGTCGGATGCCACAACTCCCCCAGCTTTCATAACGGGAACGGAGGCATACCAGAACCATGGACCTCTTCTCTTCTTCTGCCGAATGCCAGTCACACTTCGAACGACGTTTCTTCTTTCTATACGCGCCGGGTTTTTTCGTTTTTTGTCGACCAGTTCGTGCCCAGATGTCCCAACGTGGTCGTCGGCCAACGAACGAAAGAAAAACGACTGAAAGCTCGCCCCTATCTACCTTCGACCCGTATTGACCGCGTTACCGCAACAAATCGTGATAAACATGTCTGATAGGACCACAACATAATCAAACCTCGTAAAGCCACTTTCGATTATGCTAATCGTTGACGATTTGATGGACTATTTGGCCGAGTTACATAGGATAATTGCACGATTATTATGCTAATTGAGTATTGTTGGGTAATGAAGAGGACACATAGCGCGTTAAAAAAATTCAAGGTGGAAACTTGATAAAAGTATCTAATAGCGATTGTTTCAAATCAGAAAATTAATTAACATAGTTTACGAAAGAATTTACTTTTACATTAACTTCTTTGTAATAATCTATTGGTTTAGTTTCTTTTTTCAAAGGAAAGATCCTCTTAAGGAGTCCAGAACTGGGACTCGGTTGCTATGGAAACGGAATGGAAATTACTGTTATACTATATACATGCATTCAAAGTATTCTGCACGCTTTGTCGTGGTATGTCTCGAGATTGTATTACAATTTCCTACAATCTTTTTCTCGTTAAAGACAATCTTCTCGGCCTTGTAGTACACAACATTTTTTGCGTAACCCTATAAAAACTGTGAATTGATGGCATAAAGGTTCACTTAACTTTTATAGACTGAAATTAACTTAATTAAATAAATTCCTCAAAAAAGTTTTTGAAAGCTAACTAATGAAGAATTACTTGACCAAAATTACCCCTGTTGATAAAGACAGTTTTGCGATTTATTGCCATAACAGGAACGATGCAGGATTTGTAGCACTATTAATTAATTCTCAGTGACACCATGATCACATCTTATAGAAGCAAGAGCTTCAAGAAGAGTTAATCGCTGCCTATTAATGTAATGACAATTTTAACACTACCAGATGACGCCGACAGTGACAAATATGCTAATCGCCGTACATAAAAAGATAAATATTCGTTCCTCTAAGTGGAAGGTTGGAACACATTCTGGTTGGTTCTTTACCCATATTAAAAGGACACAAAAACTGTTTAACATGTATGGATAGAATTTTATGTTGGCCTGAGTAAATCTTGTGGAAACATAGAAGCATCCACAAATTATTAAGCATGGAAATAGAAAGCCCGTAATGTTTACCGTGTACAGTGTCTACCTACTTAATGATGAGGAACAATCCCCAGAAGATTTACAACAACGTAAATATACCGAGGAAGAATCTAAACGGAAAAGGATTAATTACAATTCATAACAACACGCTTTCATAACACATTAACAACATTTAGAAAAGATAGAAGGGTTCGGAAGAACTACAAGAAAAATGTTCAGATGTTGAAACATTAAATTGTAAGTGACTCGTTAAAGAGGAGCCCAGTCTGGTACACCGATACTTCAAAAACAGTTGGATCTGAAATAGGTGTGGACATCAGCGGACCAAAAAGCTGCATTACGATGCCCTTAAGCTCAAGCTGAGGACCAATCTTGTTGACTTTGCAATAACAAGTCAGAGACTACTAAATATATTCTGCATCGCTAGAAGTCGCCTAAGACATAAAATAGTAAGTTACAATAGCCACGATGACAAGAAGCGCCGCTCCCCTCAGCTGCAACAAATAAGTGACTTGTTCAAAGAAACGTCCAGGAGAGCAAATTCAAGGATAAAAATCAATTAAATAATTAATTTAATTGATTAATTCATTATTAATTAACCATTATGGACTTCTACTACTGTTTATTTGACTTGATTCGGTTATTCTAATGATTAATGTTCTATCGTAAATTTTTTTAAACTGTCACAAAAAAAAATTGTTATCGCGCAACTTTTTTTACTTCTTGGGAATCTGCCAAAAAAGTCACAACTCCAACTATTTAAAAAGAATGAATTCTACCTGTTTCGACTTGACGTATTGTTTAGATGAAAACAAAGATAATTTTCAGCTGGTATTTAGTACAAATATTTTTGGACCGATTCGACCTTTTGGTGCGAAATTCAGGATAAACAAAATCGATTCGTAAAACGTACTAACGTAGCTTTTCTATACTCCCCAAAATCCTTGAGAAACTATTCGTGCAATGTTTGCTGTTGTACGGGCATTCCAATGAAATTTCACCTATCTTCACGAAAACCAATTTCAAACGTTTGAAATATTTATGTAACATCCCGCCTTTGTTATCTACTCTAGACCGAATATGTTTAACAACCTTACCCAGGATTGTCTCGCGATATCCTGCAGACAGTTAAAATTCTTTTGTTTATTGTTTTCTTCGTTCCCATGTTCTTTTTTGCCTACCTTCATATACCAGACATGCGAAATCTTAGATTAAAATGAAAAAAAAAAATTTTATTTTACAATAATCTTTTTTCAATAGTATATTTGCATTCAATAATACTTACAATCTTACTCACTAAGCAAAATCATTAAATCTTGATTATCAACGACAAATATTTCAGCATTTAACGTTTAAATAAGATATGGTAAGCGTTGGTTTTGCGACTATATTTACACGACGATTAAATGCAATCTTAAACCGAAATAACATAATATTTTTCAAGCGCGATAATATTAACAAAAAAGATAAGGCTTACCTAAGGATATCGGCAAGAATGTGAATGCGCAAAACTTTCACCTCTTTACACCGCGAATTGTACGGTATAAATGCGACGAAATTTCATTCGTTTGCAATATTACAAAGATGCATCTGAGTTCGTGGAAAAGATCGAGATCTCAAAACTTTAATACAATCCAGATCTCAAGGAAATTCTAACCGTTGTCATTGGGTAATATTCTAGGAAATCGAGGATTGTTATAGTGTTGGTCACGAAAACAATGCCAATTATAATAACATACCATAACTTGGAATTTGTTTTTGAAACTTATAACAAAAATGTGTACTCATTATAATATCCAAGCAGTTTTACTTTTTTTGGTTGTTATTGTTCTTATTAGTAGAGTATTTTTACATATCATAAAATATTTGTCGCATTTCAACTTCATAAAAGCTCGAAAGTTACTCAAATAAGTTGTCGGTCATCTTAACATTCTTCGACACATTTGCATAAATACATAGCCATAAACGGTGCGATACAATACTTCCCCTTAATACGGTCCTGTTCTTTGTTTAGTTTCAAGATTGTCGGGAGAAGACGTAACCCCCATTATTTCAGTAATAAACCAACGCTAATGGTAATTACCCCTCTTGTCGAACACCCATGGTAATATTACCACGCTTGGTTTGATTGTTTTATTGGGCGAACCGACAATAATTACTCGAGCAAACGTTATTGTTAGTCCTTCAACCTTATGTAAGAGAATATTCTTACTGACTTTCGGTCATAAAATTCGACGGTTATAACCCCAAGACGTCATCTCAGAGTATATACAACCATCTCTACGACCACCTCTAGCTTTAGTTAATCCTTTCGTAAAGACCAACACCTATCAACTATCCCTGCTGAGACGTTTACAGCGAAATTCGTTCAAGTCCGTAAATTACATTGAGAACGGATAAAGAGGAACGCAACAGACGTCGGTTTAAAATAAATAAAATAGTTGGATTGTTGCCCTATGAGAGTGAAGGAATTTTTCGCGCGTTGACGCGGAATTCGCCTTGTTATGAAGTTGAAGCTGCCTTGAGGTTTTAATTCTGGAGGAATTTGTAAATTGTCTGACAGCTTATTAGTAGAGGAATTCCAATGTTTGTAAAAATAAAAACAAGATACCTATATTTTTACTTGCTAAAATATTTTTTTGGTTAAATCTAAACACATTTTTTTAACCGAAAAAAAAATAAATTTCCGCCTCCATATATTCAAGAAATTCCAGTCACCCCACAAACGATTTATCCATCTAAATATAGCAGATTCATTAGTAGGTATTAAGGAAGCGTGGTAAGAGTACTTTAAGCTCGTTTTAAATCCGCCTCCTCCATCTCAACCGTCTACATGCGTATATGTCATGTGCTTATAGTAGTTTACGTAACGTTGCTTTACCTTGTCCTTGAGCGACATTTGGTCTGCGTGATTTGGAGTACGAGGTAGCACCAGACCAACATAATTGAAGATAAAACAAGCGGAAGCTTTTTTCTACTTAGTGTGTTCTTACGTTAGGCAAGCAGAGACACTTGTATATCCTTAGAAAAAAAGCCATTTGGACACTTTTACTGATGACAGCGATACACATCACGTTTACATATGCAGGCCATGTACCGCATTTTTCGAGAGAAACTGTTGCACGCTGCGACCGTGGACGAAGTTGTTTCACTCATTGTTATTTCTGTGACATGAATACTTTTACCATGTGTAAATATCGAGATGTCAA